AAGGCAAACACTCGGCCCTCAACTCCATAATGGGTGCCAACTCTGGAGGTCTGGCGCTTAACATCACATTTGCGGGAACTGTTAGTATCAGTGCTGCCGGTAGTGATGGACACGCAGTGAAGGTCTCGACCGCCTATTTGGGAGGTTTGGGTCTTCTTCTGGGAGTAAGAGCTCAACAAAACAAAGCCTTTTCATTGGATTCCGAATCCATTCCTTCGGATCCATTCCTGAAGAATATCTACGAAACAAGTATTTTATTGTTTTGATTACCGATTGAATCAAATTTTAACACTTTTTCTCTGATATCCAGACCTAAACTCCCAAAAAATGTTATCCACGTCTGAGACGGGAGTACTCGTAGCCCACGGGTCGGCCACCGGATCCCAAATGACGACAAACAACGGGAAACTGGAAAGTGGTTTAATCGGAGGCTTTGTTGTCGGGTCTGTCACTAAAGTGTCCGCTAAATAACCACTAAATCTATAATAATTTACAAATATATTTCATGTTTTTATCATTAATTTATTTATATAAAAATCACGTTTATAATTAAAAGTAAATTGCATATTAAATACATTGAAAACAAATATCAAATTAACTCCAATTGTCTTAAGTTGTGGAGACAAAGCCATCGCTAATATACCACGTGTTTGCCAATCAGTTAACACATTAATAATCTGATCCATGGATTGAGACATTAATTGTGAATTTGGGACAAAATATAGTAAAAGTTTATTACAAACCATTGGAAGGATGCCATATATAATGTTGAAAAATAACATTTGTTTAAAAATCCTAAAAGTCTTTGACGATTAGCAATGTCTACGGCTTGGGTGCGGGCGCTGTGGCCGACATTAATGGCGGCAAAAATGGGAACAAAAATGTGGACGAAAAACAAGAAGTGAAGACAATTACCGAACCTTTATATGAGAAATGTATGCAAAACTCAATTAAGTTTTAAAAACTTTTAATTAACAATTTTGTATTCAATCAGACATGAAATCGTTGTCATCGAAGGACTCTTCGGCCGGTCTATTGGTTTTGGCCGAAGGACTGAACGCTGGGGAGGCTGTGATCGCCACCCGTGAGGGTTGGCTCGACGTTAAGGGCGCCTCCGGTTTCAAACTGGGATCTTATACTGAGATCTCTACCAGAGGTTAAATTATTTGAAAATCTAATTATTTATTTAATGTAATTTAAATATAAAAATAAAAACTTATTACAATTTAATATAAAGTACGTGTATTATGTTTTATTCTTTACCTTTTAATATTTACAATAACAAATAGTTATATTAATATACAATGTAAATTGAATAAATGCATTGTATTCTATACAATTTTGAACATTGTGAAATGCATAAAATGTGATACATACATAATATTTTATATGAAATTGTACTTGTTTATGTTTATATTTATGCAATTTCCTTTACTCAATAGATATTGTAATCATTACAATGTTATAAATTCTACAATTAATCAAGTGTTAATTAAATATATTGAATTTATTACAAAATTTATGTTATTTATAAATGTTAACAAAATATAGTTTAATTGTAATTAAAAACATTAAATGATGTGATAATTCACACAATAGTGTAATGAATGCTATGATTAAAGCCGAGACCAACGCATAGAAAAACACGTGAATATCAATGAGTTTTAATGTTTGAAATGTTGACGCATTTGTTGTGTCCATCCATTCATTCAATTCATTATCAGTACTATTATAACGCGATTGTAAGATATCATAGGTTTTAATAAGAATTTTACTAAATCTTGCTCTCCATGAATGTACACCCGTTTCAATCCATATTACATATCTTTTAATGTATATATTTTTAATTAATATTAAATATAATAACTTATTTAAAACATATTTTACTTTTGTCTGAAAAGTTGTTTAATCCTATAGTTGAGCCGTTTGTTCACTAATAGCCCTCCTATTGCTAGCATTGATTTATCATTGGATGTATGGAGGGGTTGGGATGGGAACAGATCTTTCATCTGATCGATAGTGTCTTCGGGTCCTATGAATACTGCATTTTCATTCAATATATCCTTTACTATTGGTATGGGTTGCAGATAATGTGGATTTTGGTGTTTATACTTCAATGTTGGGTATTTAATCTAATTGTTTTATAAATGCATTTTAATTATAACTGTTAAGTAATATAATCTGTATTTAATAAATTTGTGTTACATTGTTATATAATTGTATAATCAAATTAATAAATATGATAAATTCGATTACCTTGATGTGTGAGGTGAAAATATAACCTGATGTACTTATTAATACTGTCAAACCTGTACCGACGATATCCTGAATGCAATCTATTTGTCGAATTGGAGTATTGGCTAAATTGGATAGAAATTCATTGATAAACAATTGGTTCCAAAACAGACAGTTTGCTATCCATAGAGCGAATACAATACTCGATAATGTGCTAGCTCGAATATATCTACTAATTGTAGCTGTATATCAAAATAAATTTTATAAATAATTAATTAATTGATAAAAAATGGTTATATGCTTACATTTTGAGATTAACGATAGAAATAAATCTAATCCAATGTGCATAGCTATATGTTTAATATCCAAATTATGTTTACCATGTATTAATATTGTTAATACACACAAACATATAATAAATATAAATAATATGGCCATCCAAGTAGACACGTGAAACGAACTGATCAAGGTAAATTTGCCATATTCGCGTACATCACTTGATAATATGGTTACTAAACTAGTAACTAATGAAGGGTATATTGGGTCACATTTAGACAATCTATCATTTGTATAAATTAATGTTGTGCCAGACATGTCAGCTCTCTATTGTAATTTGGTTTTAAAATATATTATAATAATTCTAAATTGTTAATACAAAAAAATGTAAAATAATAAAATAAAGTACTTCATAAACAATCTCGGCCATATATCCTGTCCAATTTCCATTCGGCATTAAAATGCCACCACCTTTCTGCCTTAAATATACGAACTCAATGCTATTTTACATTTAATAAAATTAGATTATGATAAATTAAATTTAAATAAGAGTAATAATACCTGCATTTCATATATTTATATATTAGTTCGAATATTAGTGCAAATCCATCGCATATCCCATATAAATTAGCACTTATTTTATGAATCTGTATAATGTATGAATTAGTCAAGTTAAGTTTAAATATTTTTATAAATTTAATTAAATTTATAAACATTATAATTAATAATTATACACGGTAGTTGTTAAGTGCAACCCGTATACGACAATCCGTACTATCATGATCTATTTGAAACAGACCACTTGTGTTTACCGTTTGAAAACATAATTTTTTTAAAATAACCATAATTAAAAAATAATTTTAATAATTTAATAATTTATTATTATTACTAAATTGATCTTATATTTATTGTTTTGCTGATATGTTTTCTGTCAGAACGTTTATTATTAAATATTATACGAACTAGTAAACAACATGATATATCGATTTACCTTAAATCAATTAAATAAGAATTAACAATAATTAATTTGGACTCATCTAGTGTGAAAGAAAACTATGTTTCCATGTTAATATAGAATCTATATTATAGATTATGTTTGTAATTATATTTGCAACATGTATTTTCTTAACAATTAAAAAATTATATTAAATAAGTATAGTTAAAATCGATTTTACATATAATCAATCAAGTTATAATTAAATGGTACCATTACTTTTTATATTAAATTTATAATAATTTAAAAGCGAGTGAATTAAAACATAGAAAGTACTAAATTATACAGAATACTATATTACTGTATTCAGAATCTGAATCTGAATTTCAGATAATATTAATTACATACAAGATACACGTCAGACACTGTGTATTACACTAGTCTTAATTTTATCATGTCTTATCAAAATACACATGATAACAACACTCAATAAATATGTTATTGGCAACACTAATCACATATCACTAGGTAATAAATTGCCTGTTTATAAAGATACATCAAAATGAAAGAAACATAACTCCATTTTATTATTATGTAAATTACAAATTACAATAATATTTTATTGTAAACTAACACAACAAAAAAATAAATCAATATTCATCATGGGTAATGTCAATCTTATTTTACAACTTAAAAGCAAAATATATTGTTTGTAATCCAATTTTTGTAAATATTAAATATATGTGAAATGAGCATGCTAACTCAACTTCCACCCCAACTGTAAACCCTTCTATGCATTGAAACAATTAGAAGGGTTTATAGTTGGGTAGCAGTTGTGCCTCATATTCATCATATCATGTCATGTGTATTGTTTTACTTTGATTTAGAAATATTTAAAAATTAAATAACATCTATTATTATTTATAGTTAATGTTAGCTAATAGTTTATTCTAAATGTACCTTATTTTAATTAGTTTGTAGTCTATTTTAATTATTCTACCATTACAAAAGTATTTGAAGTAAACATGTATTTGTTGTATAAATGTAAACCATTTTGAATTGTTACCACATTAACTATCTGTTATTATAGCAAATGTTCATAGAAACAAGATTTAATACTAGTAACCGATAATGTAATGTAAATATTGTAAAACTTATAAATAAGTTATTTGTTTCGATTGTAAATTACAGTAATATCTTTATTAAATAATTTAAATTATAATATTTTTATATATAATAATTTATAAAAATAATTAGTGGCTATTATTTGTAGTAAAAAATATATGATAATTATGCAATAATTTAACCGCGAGTAGAGATTTCAGTATAGGATCCCAGTCTAAAACCGGAGGCGCCCTTAACATCGAGCCAACCCTCACGGGTGGCGATCACAGCCTCCCCAGCGTTTCCTCCTTCAGCCAAAACCAATAGACCATTAGAAGAGTCCTTTGAATCCAAGGATTTCATGTCTGATTAAATACAAAATTGTTAATTAAAAGGTTTTAAAAATCTGATTGAGTTTTGCATACATTTCTCATATAAAGGTTCGGTAATTGTCTTCACTTCTTGTTTTTCGTTCACATTTTTGCGACCATTTTTGCCGCCATTAATGTCGGCCACAGCGCCCGCACCCAAGCCGTAGACATTGCTTATCGTTAAAGACTTTTTGCCAGAACTGACGGTCACTTTGAGGGCACCGATGGCTCCGATTCCCTCCACTATAAGGAATCCGTCGTTGGATTTGAGTTCATTTTCGGGTCTTTTATTGATATCAGTTTTGGACAGAAATTCATTCAAAGTTTGTGCCATCGATGAAGACATTCACCGATAGTGACGAAGAGATTTATTCCTCTGATGCCGACGACGAA